GCTATTGAGGAGGTAAGAAGACCTTCTGGTTACTCACACTTGATGCTGTAGTGTGTCGCTCCTTGACTTACCACACACAAATGTTGAAGACAGTGAATGTTGATCCATGATACGGGAAATGAGACAGATAAGCAGCATTAACCTGCATGCTAATATCGCCGCAATGCAAAGTGCGTTAATAATGAAGATAATCGCATAGGGAGTTATAGAACAGATTGAGAAATGTGGTTTCAGATACAACAACTAGCACGGGCTTAAAAATGGTAAATCTTATCACACAAATCTACCAGCGTTCTATGACAAGGTAACAGAAGTGTAGAAGGAAAGACAGAGGGAAAGAATGGACAGGAAAAAATAAATAGGTCTTTGGGACAGTAACGCAAAAGAAGTTAGACCGGTAAAAGGCTCTTCCTCTAAGGAGTTAGAGCTAATCCCTTCTTCCATGGATCAAGCCTGATTATTTCCCATTCCTCAAGCGCTGCATGATCTATATAAATGTTTCCCCGAAATTGTAATAATCAGTGCAATAACCTGTGTCTACTCTGTAACAGTGTTACAGGACAATATATCTCCCAGTGAAGATGTATTGTGAAGACACTACATATAAAGACTCTAGGTCAGATCTTACTGATACCAAGACTGATTGCTAGTCAAGGTAATAACAAGACTGATTGCTAGTCAAGGTAATAACAAGACTGATTGCTAGTCAAGGTAATAACAAGACTGATTGCTAGTCAAGGTAATAACAAGACTGATTGCTAGTCAAGGTAATAACAAGACTGATTGCTAGTCAAGGTAATAACAAGACTGATTGCTAGTCAAGGTAATAACAAGACTGATTGCTAGTCAGGTAATAACAAGACTGATTGCTAGTCAAGGTAATAACAAGACTGATTGCTAGTCAAGGTAATAACAAGACTGATTGCTAGTCAAGGTAATAACAAGACTAACTGCTAGTCAAGGTAATAATAAGACTGATTGCTAGTCAAGGTAATAACGAGACTGATTGTTAGTCAAGGTAATAACAAGACTGACTGCTAGTCAAGGTAATAATAAGACTGGCTGCTAGTCAAGGTAATAGCAAGACTGACTGCTAGCCAAGGTAATAATAAGACTGACTGCTAGCCAAGTTAATAACAAGACTGACTGCTAGTCAAGGTAATAATAAGACTGACTGCTAGCCAAGTTAATAACAAGACTGATTTGCTAGTCAAGTAATAACAAGACTGCTGCTAGTCAAGGTAATAGAAGACTGACTGCAGTCAAGGTAATAACAAGACTGGACTGCTAGTCAAGGTAATACAAGACTGACTGCTAGCCAAGGTAATAATAAGACTGACTGCTAGCCAAGTTAATAACAAGACTGACTGCTAGCCAAGTTAATAACAAGACTGACTGCTAGTCAAGGAAATAACACGGTGGGATACAGCAACACACGTGAGTGGATAGGCACAAGAATGCTAGGAATATTTCACGCAAACGCTACTTACATTAAGTGATGGAATAACAAAAAAAAATGTTCCTTTATTCGTAAGAATATATCTGTAATAAATGTGGTAAAAAGCTGTGTACTGGTTATAATATTTTTTGTTTTTACAAATGTTTATATTAACAGGATATCGCTAAACCCGTAGAGGTCATACACCTTTGATCAAAGGAAAGGGAAGGTAGGTCCTATTCCTTGAATTAAAGCCCTTCACCAGCAACAAGGTAACAAACACACACCTTGAAAGCATATTTTCACGAAGGTTATTTTTCGTTCACCTTAGGACAGCATATTTGGTGGAGGTCGAGCCAGACAAGACTGGGATTGAAAATTAACATAGGTATCGCGGTTGTTAGATAACAATAGAACGTTGTATAGTGGAACTTGCCTTTAGTTTTGCTACTTTTGTCAGGTGATGCTGGTATGTTAGGCAGTTCCAGTGTACAGCACCAGTAACAGTTTTGGACCTGATCTGTCATTCCCGTAGCGCTGAGTGAATCTTTGAAAAAAGGTTACTCAGAACTATTTATCGGGTTTATCAACATGGTTAATCCACCATTTCCCCCATCTCCTAGCTTGAAAAACATACTGTAGTACATCTATTCACTTAGCAGTTGTGTGTGTATGTTGGCATTTATATATATATATATATAATATATATCATATATTTATATAGATATAATTTTATAATATCTAAATATATTAATATATATAATGTTTATATATTTATTATAGTTTATATATAGCATATATATATATATATATATATATATGTAGTATATATATATATATATATATATATATATATATATATATATATTATATATATATATATATATATATATATATATATATATATATATATATATATATATATATATATATATATATATATATATATATAATATTATATATATATATATATATATATATATATATATATATATATATATATATATGCTGCATTTATGCTAATAACTAATTAATCGAAATAAAGTGAAATTATCACAAATTAATCTGATATAAAGAATGACATTACCTTTGTTATTATCGAACCGATGTTTGCTGAGTCCCTTCACATCTAGGAGAGCCGAAGGGTAGCTACCTCTCTAATACTCACGTTGTTCTGCCACTATACAGGCGCCATTTGCTAGGGAGTTTCATCTCAAACTCTGCCTAGCCACCACCACCAAAGAGCTGAGGGTCTCTCCTAGGCGCTGTCTAGCCTTCACCGCAACACAGGAAGTCAGCTGCTGAGAGTATCTACGTAGCTCTGCATAGCCATCGCTGCCTAGCCACCACACTGGTATTGCTTCAGATGATAAATAAAAGCGCTCACTGCCCACGTCAGGAAGATAAAGTTTAACGTCCGAGACACGTCAGGAATTTCCTACGAGGCACGACCAGCTGATCCAGCTGGTATTCTCTCACCTTTCTTTCTTCAACCCCCTTCCCACCCCCTCTGTCTTCCTCCTCTCTCTCTCTCTCTCTCCGTCTCTGATATCTACTTTCTCTGAACATGTAGATTTACAGTCTTCGCATATTACCTTCAGAATGAGGTAGTCATTCGATTCATAAGTTTTCTTTAAATTACCTTCGTGGACAATAAAGTTCCTCTTAGCATGTGCATATATATATCTTAATACATGTGCACATGTAATATCTATTTCTTACATGTGCATTTATATATCTCTATTTACATGTGCACATGTAATATCTATTTCTTCCATTTCCATTATATATCTCTTATTTACATCGTGCACATGTAATATACTATTTCTTCTGCTATTATTATAATAGCATGAGAGGTTCCTTTAATACTTTTGTTATAAAGTTCCATATTATATTGTTTTAATATACATATTCCCGTAAATATTTCTTATTATATTATATGTATCATACTTACAATATCTATTTCTTATATGTGTCCATTTTATTATAATGCATGGGGGTCCTTTAATACACTGTTACAAGTGCATGAGGGTACTTTTAAATATTTCCTTTATATCATGTGTACTTTCAAACATTTTATATGCATGTGTACTTTATTTACATGCATGTGTACTTTAACACCTGTTACATGCATGTGTACCTTTAACACCTGTTTACATGCATGTGTACTTTTAACACCTGTTACATGCATGTGTACTTTTAACACCTGTTACATGCATGTGTACTTTTAACACCTGTTACATGCATGTGTACTTTTAACACCTGTTACATGCATGTGTACTTTTAGCACTTTTTCCATACATGTGCAATATGTTATCATTTATATACTTGCAACATAGCTAGGTTAACTAGGGCCTCAGACACACAGGTTTAACATATACTGAATGTTTGATTTTTCGGGAGCGTGCAACAGAGAATTACTTAAACGATTACTTCAAATAATTTGAAAACCGATAAGCAGGTTGATTATGGATGGTGTGTGTGTGTGTGTGTGTGTGTGTGTGTGTGTGTGTGTGTGTGTGTGTGTGTGTGTAATCACCTAGCTGAGGTTGCAGGGGTCGATCCCTAGCTCCTGGCCCCGCCTCTTCACTGGTCGCTACTAGGTCACTCCCCCTGAACCGTGAGCTTGATCCCACCTCTGCTTAAAGCTATGTATGGATCCTGCCTCCACTACATCGCTTCCCAAACTATTCCACTTTCTGACTACTCTGTGGCTGAAGAAATACTTCCTAACATCCCTGTGATTCATCTGTGTCTTTAACTTCCAACTCTGTCCCCTTGTTACTGTGTCCCATCTCTGGAACATCCTGTCTTTGTGTGTGTGTGTGTGTGTGTGTGTGTGTGTGTGTGTGTGTGTGTGTGTGTGTGTGTGTGTGTGTGTGTGCGTGTGTGTGTGTGTGTGTGGTTGTGTGTGTGTGTGTGTGTGTGTGTGTGGTGTGTGTGTGTGTGTGTGTGTGGGGTGTGTTGTGTGTGTGTGTGTATTATGTGTGTATGTGTGTGTGTGTGATTTATTAATATACGGCAGACATGACAGATGTGTTTGTGGAGCTTCGGTCAGGCTTGAAAGAGAACTTTATGCGACGCGTAACAGATGAGCGAGAAAGCCTTAAGGAATTCCCAAAAGCCTTAAAGGCTTTTGGGAATTCCTTAGCGGAAGTTAAGATACAGCTCCTCCTTACCGATGTCTATATCCAGCCTGAATAGCTGAGCCCGGGCTGTACCCAGCCTGAGTGTCAGTATCCATATCTGCACCCAGCTTGAGTATCTGTACCCAGCCTGCGTTGCTGTACGCATCCTGAGTGGCAGTTCGCATGTGTGACGAGCCACAACACCGTATTAGGAGACGTCATAACAACGTATGCAATATCCTTCCCGTGAGTATTGTGATAGCCATCCCCGCGCTGTCTGAACACAGGATATTCCTGGCTGTGTGACCTTGGGGACATGATGCTGCTGCTCACCGATCTTTCCTCTCAATGGCTGCAGTGGCACGCATTACGACATAGCTGGGCGGTGAGTCCTAGGCGTGGGCGTAGATGTCAATGCAGTGCTTGCTGGGGAGGCTTGAAGGGAGTGCGTGCCTGCTGGGGTTGATATAAGCGAGCAGGAGGCGAGGCAGGGCAGTGCGCGCGTGGCAGTCAAGGTAGAGGGTTCCCAGGGTGCCCAGTCTCCATACCGCTCCCCACACACACACACACACACATACATACACGTGGTGCAGCCACACCCCGTGCTAGAGACACAGTGTCTCACACAACCCGTGCTAGACAGTCTAAAACACCCCATGCGAGAGATTCATAGTATTTTTCATGCTAGACAGTTTCTTAAACATCTCGTGCTAGAGACACACAGTGTCCTACACACCTCGTGCTAGACACACACAGTGTCTCGCTATTCACAGTCCCAAGCCTTGTTACTTATCAAAGACTTTTGAAGGCAGAGAGTAAATTTTTATTAAGAACATGGAGAAAACTCCAATGTATGCAGTACTGTCGCCTCCACACGCCTGCAAGAGGCAATGGGTGGCGTGGGTGGCCACGGGCGTGAGTATCGTCGCTCTGGTGGTGGCGTGCGTTACAGCTTCCGTGACAGTGCAGCAGGTAGATCGTGTCAGCGAACTGGAGGGCAGGATGCTGGAGATGCAGAGTCACATGGAGGACATCCTACGCTTCACCATTGACAGCCATGACTTCAAGGAGTACGATGAATACCCAGAAGATGCTCAGGTACGTCTCTAAACAATATTTTCTCCCTAAAGTTGGGACTTTATTACCTATCCTCTGGGAGGAAGATTCTTCCTCTCGCCGCATCTGCTTATCGTGAGGCAGCTGTAAGATTTTGTCCCCCTAAGGAGCAAGTTTATTAGGCAGCCCTACTCATCTTGTGAATAAATGCTCACTATGAAGACAGTATGTTACAGCACTAATAGTTGACACGTTATCGGCGACATTAGTTCCATCTTTGGCTGTTTCAGCATTCAGACATCAGAAACACTATTATATATTTGCAGTAAATTCTGTTCGTTTTTATAATTGCCAGTGAATCTTAGTGTCAACAATGAATCGACTGAAAATAAAAGGGCACATTTCCCTAAGTGAAATTTTGAACTTGAAGATCAGTAAAGTAAGACAAGTCATGAGGGAGGTGTAGAGCTGAACACTGGACGACACTTCTCTACACTCACACTTGCAGAGTGGCGGTCATGGGGGACGTGGGAAAAATATAACCCGCCTGGGAAAATCTGGCTAATCCTTCCACAAACTTCTTATTTACAAATAAAATTTATTTAGATAGTTATTAGAGTAATCCAATATACCTTTGCTTTCAAACCAGGTGAAATGGAAGACAAAAGTGTGTGATATTTTTAAAATGTTTGAACACACACACACACACACACACGTGTGTGTGTGTGTGTGTGTGGCAATCAGTGCGTCATTAACCTATGCCTAGAGCACGGAATTCACAGCACACGGTAGTGTATTGTCTGGCTACAACAATGTGGTGTAGTCTGTGGCTACTACAGCGACGTGTCGGTGGTGTGTTCATCACAAGAAACAATGATGCTTAAGCTTTTCTTAAAACTCCAGTAAGAAACTGGGTTCCATTGAAGATACATACGACTTTTTGGCCCATTAGCCGGAGAAGCTCTTGGTCTGACCATCAGCTGTGACCTGCTTATATAGGGTCACATATGAAATCAGTTAAATACCGCTCTTCTCTCTCTCTCTCTCTCTCTCTCTCTTCTCTCTCTCTCTCTCTCTCTCTCTCTCTCTCTCTCTCTCTCTCTCTCTTCTCTCTTCTCTCTCTCTCTCTCTCTCTCTCTCTCTCTCTCTCTCTCTCTCTCTCTCTCTTTTTTTTTTTTTTTTTTTTTTTTTTTTTTTTTTTTTTTTTTTTTTTTTTTTTACACATGGTTTGACAAGGTTAAGGATCCCTAGGTTTATTGACAAGCTATTTACAGGTTAAGGATTCCTAACTTTATTGACAAGCTAAGAGCTGTTACCTACATCAGCTCATTTGAAAGCATTTTTATTGTTATGAGACATACAAGTAGGGAACAGGATGAAGTTGGAGCCATCTGTGGGCCAGCATTTTCATTTGTTCAACTGACGTTATCTCGTTGACATCATTATGCTGTACGAATGTGTTCCATACTCGAGTCATCCTGGGTATGTATGATCTCAGATGGAGTGATGTTCTGGAGAAGGGTACAGCCAGAGTGAAGTTGCTGCTTTCTGCCCGTCTTGTGGCATAAAAGCTTGTTTCGCCCTGTCCTCGAAGTGGATCCAAGTGTGGTATTTTGACAATATTGGCCTTGTACATAACAGTAAGGCCACCCACATCCCTCCTATGTTGAAGGCTCTGCTGAAATGACAGATCCATCCAGGATGGGTCCAGGCGAGAGATGAGACGTCTTGCTCTGTTCTCTACTCTGTCAAGCAGTCGCAGATGAGAGGGGGGACAGGCAAGCCAAGAAAGTGGAGCATACTCAAGGTGTGAGCGTACTTGTGCCTCGTACAGGATCTTGCAACCCTACTGTCAAGCAGATGTGAGATACGGCGAAGTGCTGTAAGCTTCCTGGCTGCCTTGTTTTGCAAGATTTACAACATGGTTCTTCATGGTTAGTTTGGAGTCAAATTTCACCCCAAGGATATCAACTTCTTCTCCAGGTGCCAACATCGTCCCATTCATCCTTACTACTGCACCAGCATTACCATCATGGTGCCTAGAGACGATCATCATTTGCGTTTTCTCAGGTGCAAATGTTACTTGCCATCTATTTCCCCAAGCTGATATAGCTCTCAGCTGGTAATTGATGTAGCTTAGAGCAGCTGGCATTTCTTCTCTTGGATAAGTGAATGTTAGTGTACAGTCGTCTGCATATGCATGTGATTCTGGGATGAGATGAAGAAGGTCGTTGAAGTAGACATTCCATAACAGTGGACCCAGCACACTTCCTTGTGGAACGCTTGCCCCAATAGGATGTCTTGCTGATTCCGTTCCATTGAGAACTACACTTAGAGATCTACCATGAAGGTAATCACTGAGGAGACATAGCGTAGAGCCTGCAATTCCCAGTGCTTGAAGTTTTGCTAAGAGGCCCTGGTGCCACACCCGGTCGAAAGCGCCAGCAATGTCCAGTGCTACCACACAGCTGACTTTGGATTCATCCAGTGACTGGTGCCACTTAGTGGAGAGGTTTAACAACAGATCTCTCTCTCTCTCTCTCTCTCTCTCTCTCTCTCTCTCTCTCCTCTCTCTCTCTCTCTCTCTCTCTCCTCTCTCTCATCTCTCTCTCTCTCTCTCTCTTCTCTCTCTCTCTCTCTCTCTCCTCTCTCTCTCTCTCTCTCTCTCTTCTCTCTCTCTCTCTCTCTCTTCTCCTCTCTCTCTCTCTCTCTCTCTCTCTCTCTCTCTCTCTCTCTCTCTCTCTCTCTCTCTCTCTCTCTCTCTCTCTCTCTCTCTCTCTCTCTCTCTCTCTCTCTCTCTCTCTCTCTTTCACCACTATCAAATATATTATGAAACTCAATGCAATTATTCAGGTTAAGCCACTAGACACGAGATACAAATCTGTTGCAACACGTAGATACAAGGAGATTAAAGCAAGGCAGAGACTATAATTGAAAGTAACATTCTCAATAACATCAGATAAAACCCAATTAGAGCAGACCAAGCCTACACAGCAGCACACGCACACAAGCCACAGGATACTTAAGCCTTGTAACAAGGATTCAAACTCTCGAAGAACTGATCTTAAGAGGACGTTTCTTTTCATGGGAAACACGTAGGTGTGGGGAGAAGCCTTCATGTTGTGAAGATCTGCTATCTTACCTGATTACTTCACATTCCTCAGGCAAAGTATAGCCATTATAGACTTAGCTTTTTCATGTGAATATAATAATAATAATAATAATAATAATAATAAATAATAATAATAATAATAATAATAATAATAATAACATATCATCATTATTATTTTAATTTTTATATTATTATTATTATTATTATTATTATTATTATTATTATTATTATTATTATTATTATTATTATTAATATTATTATTATTATTATTTATTATTATTATTATTATTATTATTATTATTATTATTTCTTTTGCTGTCTGGTTCATAAAAATTGTTTGGCTGAAAGGCCTTGTTAAAATTAGACTTATTCTATCATATTCTTTAAAAATCGTTAAATATTACCCCCCGTTTACTTGCAAAAATAAATGCTCATTATATTTTTTTTCGAAACTGCATCAAATTATGCTTCCCTCAAATTCAAATGCAAATCTTTACATTAAGTTGCTTTCACGTATATTACACGTTAAGCGTTAAGTTTAACATATATTGAAAGTTAAGTTTAATCCCTGTTTCATTGATTAAAGTATTCTTGACTGGTGGTGAGCAAGTTACATGCACTCTTGACCCTCGTATAGTGGATAGACTTTAAACCCAATTAACGAACTTCTTTCTTGCTTTTCTTTTCTTGTTTTGGAGTCAGATCCATCAAAATAGTTTAATATAAATTGATTTTATTGGTGCGTATATGCTTTCAAGCAACATTCATACATGGTACAAGGTTCTTCCTATATCTTATTTTTGGGTTATGTAGCATATTTATTTGTCTAAGGAATCAGAATATATAAAAACATACATAGAAATAGGAAAACACTGTTATGGACCTATGGCTTCTATCATGGTAATTTTCCTCATACTTCTCATTATATTAATGCTGAACGTTATAAACCAGATGCAGAATGAGACACAAGTGCAACACACTGATACCTTTAAATGTTTCGCCAACCAGAGGCTTTTTCAATCCAATATTGAGAATAACTGCTTAGACAGTATTTATTTGTCTATCCTATTTTAGAAGCTATGCAGAGTATTAGCTTCATTGGCTATACTTGGCAGCTTGTTCCGCGTATCTATAATTTTACTGCCAGTACTTCCCAACGTTCCTTGTGGATGTGGGTTATTAGCCAGTAGTCCGCTCGTAACACAGTAACAGACAACTCCGATTTCCATATACTTTTCAGGGACATCCACTCTTAAATAACGCTCATAGTCGTTGCTTATATATAACACACCAGGTTCTTGTCCTCCAGAACCTACTACCTCTTGCTCTTCCTTTCCCTCTTCCTGCTGTTCTGCACCTCCCCCTGTACATTTTCCTACACCTTCCTCTTCTGTGTCCCACCTTTTTATCCATCAAACTCCTCTTCTTGTACCTCTTTCCCTTCTGCTCCTTACTCTGCTCCTCCCTTTTCTTCTCTCCTGTCTGATCACCCTTCCTATTCCTCCTCCCCTTTTCCTGTTCCTCTTCTTTCTGCTTCTGCCCATATTCCCCCTCTCCTACTACCTCCTTCCTGAGTGTGAATAACTTGCACCGGCTCAATATTTACCAGCTTCTATCCTTTAATATGACTGATTTACGACCCCCGCTGCAGCACCTGACTTATTTACACCTGCCACTAATGAATGCTTTTGCTCAGTTTTCTGCACGTAGATATTCTCCTGTTTTACTGCATCGCTTATCTGTATTCCACAATCTCCACTCTTCGTTATGCTCTAATTACCACCTTCGTTCTGGATAAATTTCTCGCTCACTGGCTGTGAGTCTCGCTCTCGTTTACTGGCTCTCTCGGTGATGTTGCTGCTTCCTACCCGTCCACCTGAGACGGGAAAGCCGATAGTGCAAGAGTTCCCTGTTCTTTTACCATGGGAAG